TGCAGAATGAGCTTCGTTACTGAGATTCACGCTGCTGCTGCTGGGTCTCTTCTGCTGCTCTTTCCCCCTCAGGATGGTTTCACCTTGAGTAGGGTCCACACATATGACTAAGGTTACTGAGCCTCACATCATGGCCAAGACATGAAGTAGGTTAAAGTTTGACCCCAAGCTAACACATTGTCAGTTGTGTAAGTATACTGATATGTTCATAGTGCATATTTGTTTAATACAATATGAAGTACAAATGCAGAATGTAAAAGTCTCCCATCCCTGGGAACATTCTTTTTGATATATGTGGAACATGGGCATAGTTTATTAACCTTGATGAACTTCCTTTAATAAGTTGTATTTTAATTTCCTTGTATATAACACTGATAACCTACATTATCACTACAAGAATTGGTCTTATATCAATTCCATCTGTAGCACATAACACCTTAGGTTCCACTTATATTGGCTAAGGGCTGTGAAATGAAATTTCCTTATGAATCATATAAAGCAGCTGTTCTTTAATGTCTACAAAGAGTGGATGTGTCACTCTGATTTCATCTGGACATCACTTTTGCCATAGTACTAAAGTTGTATGTTGTTTTCTATTGTTATTTCTTACTGTAATGCAATTTGCATTTTTAGGAACAAAACCAACGTTATGATTTAAGTAGATAACTTGGTACAGTCCTAAAACAAGTTCTTTCCAGCTAGCAAGATATTAAATGATCTTTGTATTATTCTTCCTCTTTCGCTTATTGTATCATCCATAGATAAGAGAAAACTCACATAAGATAAAAGCTCACATTAAACAATCATCACTTATTTACAGATCTCTAAGTCAACAGAATGGGAGAGGAAACCTAGAAACATACCATTCCCCACAGCACCCCCAAAATGCCATGAGCACATGGGCGCTGGCAGAGTAGCATTACAGACCAATGGCAAAGATGGACTCCCATTGAAACTGAGGAAGTTTGTCGTTGTATAAAATCGAAGTCAATGTCTACTCACATTATATAAAAAGCAAATTAATGGCCTACAAGGAAAAAGAGACTTTCAAAGCAAAAACAAGCAAACAAAACAAACGGCAAAGTACTCATAATAATTAGTAATTATAGCTATAATTCCCATACTAAAGTGCCATCACAAGTCAGATAAACTAAAGGACATAACTGAGAAAATCATGGCAGTATTGCTAACTTATGGTCAGCCTGATAATCAGAAAAGAACTTTAATGAATCATCAAAAATAAAGTAAATCAGCAGAAAAAGTTACTTAGTATGTAAAAAGATTGTTACTATTTCAGTAAACTTGAACATGCAAACAAGATGGAAAACTTGAACATGCAAACAAGATGGAAAGGCATGTTCAGTGCTACTGGAAATTTCAGAAATGGAATTAAAAGCGAAAGTGAAACTTCCTATTAACATGTCACAAAGTCAACAATACCAAGAAGTCATGAGCACAGCACCTCCAGCTGTTGAGAAGAGATAGACACTTAATGTCTTCTCTGTACTTTGCCTTTGCATGGCAAACTTCTGTAGTCTGAGTTACCTCTTATTAAAAAAAAAACTGATTCAGTAATAAGCTTCTTCCATAACTGAACAACTGTCAGTGTCTTCTGGGAAAGAACATTTATTAGTCCCACAGTGTTAGCTGTTGTAAACACAGGATGGATGCGGAATTTTTTTATGTGACCATTAATTAGTGGTTTTATCTTATAAATCCATTAAATTTTAAGTTTTTAATCTGTTATTTCAGTTCTAATGAATGGATACCACAAATGTATTTATATGAATTCAATGGATCTATTTTCTTAACAAAAAACAAAATAGGCTACCAAAGCAAATGAGGGAGAAAGAGAAAAGAGCAAAATTACTTAAGAAAAGGTAATTATACTTTTTAGGTTTTATTTTAGGTATTGGTCCCACAAAATTTATAATTCTGCTTTAGTACCCAATTTGGCATTTTTGAGAGAGGGCATTACTGATTTGTGGACTCCAGTTCTAATGAATACATTTACAAAACATTCCTACACAAGGCTCAGGGAATATCACGGAAGAAGGGGTAGAAAAAATGGCAAGAGCCAGCAGACCAGAGAGTCTACTGTTATTGTGTCTTCTAGAAACAACACCCAAAATCTCACTGAAACGACTGCTCAAATGTGAGCTGAACAAGGATGACACAAAAGGACATGTCAGAGTGGGCGAGGAAACATTCATGGAAGCCTTGGTGCTATAGAGAGAACTAGAGAAGAACTAGAGGCAACTGATGGTGGTTTTCCCCAGGGAAGGACATGTGAATTGGTTGTTTAGTGACAAATAGCCCTGAAGCATACGGAGAAGTGACATTATATACACTGAGGTTATATTTAGCAATATATATGCATATTCTGGTGAGTATATGCATGCAATAATAAGGCCATAAATTAGAAAGAAAAGAGAATAGGGTGGGGGTAGAGGAAAATGATGTAGTTATAATCTCAAAAATAAAGGAGAGAGAGAGAGCACATTTTGGAAGGGACCCCATTCTGCCATGTGAGATATTGTATTTATCTCTGTTCTTGGTCTTTCTGCCATGTGAAAATACAGCATATCGACCTCTCTAGGAAGACAAAACAAAGCTCTTACAGAAAAGAGCTATCACTTCCCAGCCCCCAGCCTGTGAGCAGATTTTGGTTTTTTGTTTATAAATGAATTAATCTGCTGTATGTGACTGCAGCTTCAATAATGGGACTGAAACAAATGTTGGTGTCCTAATTTCATTTCTGTTGCCACGGTAAAGCACCCTGAGAAAAACAGCTTAGGAGAGAAAGGGTTGTTTTTGTTTTGTTTTGTTTTGTTTTTTTTTTGAGCTCACAGTTCCAAACATAGCCCCTCCTTATGGGGGTGTTAACAGTGGCAGGAGTTGGAAACAGCTAGTCACATCCATAGTCAAGAGTAGAAAGAAGTAAATGTACACACCCTCACATGATTGTTTGCTGTGCTCAGCTCAACTTTTCTAATTCTCTGCCTAGGAAATTGTGCCACCCACATTGGACTGGGTCTTCCCACAACCACAAACCTAATTTTGACAATTCTTAAAAAAATGAAGTCTACCCCACCTTGTGCATTTCGTTGAGAGAGAAAGAACAAAAAGTTGGTTGGGTAGGAGGATCTGTCACAAGTTGGGGAAAAGAGAAGAATATGACCAAAATATTTTGTCTGGAAAAAAATTAAAAATAATAAAAATGTAATGCAATAACAATAAAAGACAATCCCTTTCACAGTCCAACCAAATGTAGGTGGTTTCTCATTGGGCATTTTCTACCAGGTCATTCTAGGTTATATTAACTTGGCAATTAAAGTTAGCCCTCACCTTTGCCCTGGAGAAGTTGGTGTTACTGTGCTCAATGAATAGAAGTTACAAGGTCAATTTGCAACTGCTTAATAGGTTGCAATAGGTAAGTTTATCGGCACTAACTTACTAGGAAAGGAGGGGGAGAGGAGAGGAGCTGCAGTGGAATTTTCTCAGTGGTTATAAAACTATGTTGGGAGAAAATTGAACAATAAAGAAAAATTCTAGTGAAAGACAAAATATCTTAAACAAAAATGAGGAACTAGGTATTAGAAGCGAGGAAAAAAACCCACCTTCTGACAAAGCAAGAACGAAATTGACTGGATAGTGTTTGTGTCGGATGACTTCATAAAAGGTGGATCTTTAGAGTAAAGCACTAAAGTATTTAATAGAGGAAAATATCTCAGCTAAGTATTGAGGGTGTAGCAAGAGTTATAGCAAAAGTATGTAAATGGAAGACAAAATAAAGATAAGTGGTATAATAAAAAAGATAGGCATAATATAAAGGGGTGGAAATTTATTAAGCCTGTAAAAAAATAAAGATGGAGGGTGTGGCACCGAGACTGATAAGCGCTGATAAAGTCTATTATTCACCAAGACAGCAGTAGAAAGTCTCACTTCAGAGACTGCCAATGCTGCCACATTAGAGACTCAACATACCAAACCCATGAGAGCAGAACATTTCCAAGAGAGGGGCCTGAGGTGCCTGTTGAAACTTGGGCTATTTGCCCACCGTTTCTGGTGTTCTCAGCTCCTGTATTCTGGCGCACTGTTCCTCAAATGCTCTACCTCTGGTTCAAGTGGGCCTGGGTGTTCTGGGATGCCCTTCCACATGGCACTGAAACAACTATGAACAATACTCTGCAGTGCTGAATCTGCTGTTGTGTCTACTGCACAACTATGGAGTTCTGGTTACCTTCATCGGGACTCAAGTGAAACTTGGGCAGATGAGGGCAGTACCCTGAGGACCCATGGAGAAGAGGTCCTTATAGAATGCTTTCACTGCGATATTGTTTGAACCTACAGAATGTAGAAATGGAGTCCCAAGATCTGGTACGTTCCCTGAACTGCAGAAGTATAGAGTCTGAAACTCTAAATAGGAGGAACCCCAAATATAATATATAACTGAAAAATCATATAAACACTAACTTGAGACATTTCCAATAAATTCACGGGACATACCTTCCTTGAACCTCGGGGACCCAGTACTCTCCTAGGGTATACAGAAGGCAAAACAGACAGAGTTTGTTCTCAAGTCTTAAAATTTAATGCTTGGACTTACTGAGAACCATGTTAACTCTTAGTTCTTTTTTCTTTCTTTGGAAGTATAGAACTTGTTTGACCTCTTGGCTTCAGAGCCATAAGGAAATTTGCCCCTCCAAAGAATCAGCTTTACAGTTTTATCTTCAGTGGCTTCAGATGATACTTAGGTGAGAGATGCATACAGATTTTAAAGTTGATGTTGGAAATGATTTGCGAATCTTCTAATTGTAGAGATAGAACTTCAGATACGAATTTTTGGTTGTATGTGGCAACCTGTTACAGCGTACATTCTTATGTTGAAGCCTAAAGTATGAATAGATGGACTATGGAGGACAAGATTAAGCGATGTGTTCTTTACTTTTGCGAAGGGGATTGGTATCTCTATGAAAGTACTTCAGGGAACTAATCAGGCCACGGTTAAAAAATCACATTTTTATTAGTAGAGAAATGGAATTAAGTATTAGTGCTCCAGATCTAGTTGGTTTCCAACTTGGGTAAATTTTTAAACTACTTTTTGGCACAAATCGGGGCATTTAAAATCACACAGACATGGAAAATAGGTTGACGATTAACTCGAATGTGTGACAAGAAGCAGGGCACAAATGCTCAGCTCATTTCTCTCATTTTCTCAGTGCAGGCTTCCATGACGAGGTCATGGTCCTGCCGCGGTCAAGACGAGGCTTTGGACATCAATTAACATAGCTAAGAAAATCCCACGGAGGCACGCGTAAGTCCATTTCCCGAGTGATTCTAAATTCTGTGACAATTGACAATTAACATTAACCGTCACAGTGGTATCCTTTGCCAACTGGGCATTCAAAAACATCAAGTTTAATGCAAACCCTACAACCTCACACCTCCATAAATTCATAACCATGTGAAAATACCTAATACATGCCTTTGTACGGCAAAAAGCCCAGTCATTAATAGTTTCAATCCTTTAAAAGTCTAAACTCTCTTAACTTTCAGCTCTCATGAAACCAAAAGGGAGATGCGTATTTTCAGCACACAGTAGCAGAGTAAGCATTTCTGTTCCCAAAGTGAAAGCCACAGTAGGAACAGTCATACCGAACAAAACCAAAACAAATTACCTATCCTAAAATCTTCATGTCTGGCACCTGGGGCTTCTGGGATAATAAAGTGAATTCCAAAGTGCTTGGATGACCTCATCATCTAGCTCCGCTGCCTTCCACACCTCCAGCCTGGACTGGCTTCATTCTACACCTGAAGAGTGTACCTGCTCGGTACACATTCCATTTTCCCAGAACTTCACTATCCTGGGATTTTCACTAGTAACTTAAGCTTGACATTTTAAGCTCCATGACACAGCCCATCACTCTGAACTTGTTCCACACTGTTCGCCTGAGCGGCTTTCCATTATACTGCAATCGTTTAGCTTTCATGCCTTTAAAACTATACACGGATGACACTGCCAAATTCTGCTACAAGTAGGAAACGTAGTCTCTTCCCTTCCCTTCCTTGAAGCCCACACAACTTTATCGAGTTCTGTGTGTCGGCATTGGAAATCTTTCTTAAGGCAGTGACTTGAGAGAAGAGGAGACCACTTCCTATCCTCTCAAGCTGTATTCTCAGTTCAGGCTCTCTCCTTTGCTGAAGTTTCCATTTTCACACGCCTTTGATTGGAGGACTCTTGCCCTCGAGTCTCCTGGTACAGAGGAGGCTGGTTGGTGATGATCTCAATGTCTTTAACAATTGTAAATGCTCTGTTCTTTGCTGTTCATAGTTCTGTTTATATCCTTTTCCTCACAGAGCTGCCCATTGTTTCTTTTTACTGAACTTCTTGCTTTCTCTCACAGAAGAGCTGAATGTTTGTGATGAGAAATCACTGTAAAAACAGTCTCAACATCCCGCCTTGAAATGTCCTCTTGCCTACAAGGTAGGCGGTTACTTTTGAATTCAGGTTAACTCAAGTTCTCTGGATATGGTCAAAGTAAAGCCAGGCTTGTTGTCAGAAAAGAACAAGAATGCACCAGTTCTGTTCTTAAGTGTTCATGTCCCTCCATGAAACTGGGCTTTAAGAGTTCAAATTTTTCACTGTCTTTTGGTCATTGAAACAGTCACTACAATGGCCAGTTCAAGACTGCTAACAGCATTTTTTGGATTTTTTTCTAGCCCCAAATTTCAAACTTTTCCACATTCCTCCTACAACCCAGGCACAAAGACTTAAGATGCAGGTAATAAGTTTTACCACAGGAACAGTCCCAAATTTTGGTAAAACTCCCTGATGTCATGATTAGTTGTCATGGCTAATTTGACATAAACTAGAGTCACCTGGGAGGACTGAACCTCACTTGAACAGCCAAGATCAAAGTGTTCACTGTTCAAATCCATGGTAGGGTCTCTTGATAAATAATTGAATATAAATGTCAAACAGTATACCAACAGTAAAGTAGTAAAGAGAGTGAGTCCTAAAAGATAGAGTTTCTTAGCAGGAAAACATGTCATTGTTCATGTCATTGAAAAAGCATTTAAAATTTGCAAGTTGTGGACTTCTCAGTATGAAATTTTATAATAGAAATTATAAAAGAGCATTTAATGTTATTTCCTAAAGATAGAAGAAAATAGAAGTTACTTTTTATGATTTGCATTTATTTTATTGAGAAATATTTCCCAGCCAACAAAAATAGTAACCTTTAAAAAGTTTTCAAACTATATATTTTCAAAATAATATCAGTTTTCTTGTAAGAAATAAGCTAACAAGATTTGACAGAATCAAGTGTGACTTTATAATTAATACTTGCAAGGTTTAAATTTAACAGAAGATGAAAAATAAACTACAATTACGATGAAATATTCCATAAAATGTTATTTCTAAATATATTTTTATTTTTATCATGAATTTAGAGACTATTTTAGGTGTGTATAAAGATATGCACTCATGTCTATTTCAAACATGTAGAAAATCAACTATCATTCGGAATCACAACTGTACACATTAAAGAAAAATAAAGCCATCTGTTTCTCATTTACATGGTCTCATCATGCAGATGTCAGATCTTCTCTGTCTTCTTTCATTCTTCCCACCATGCTACTGAGTTTTGTTCCTACTCACAGCCTTCAAAAAACATGTAATCCTAGGTAGAAACAAAACCAGAGAGTTTTTCAGAGACAAAGAGTGAGAATAGGTACAGAAAGCTAAGGGCATTAATGCCCAATGATGTAATATCATCCGTGTAATGAGTAAATGAGTAAGTGTTGGAAAGTATAAATAAGGATGACCTTTCCCTTCTGATTACAATAGCAATTAAATTCCATAATTCAATTTATTTTTCCATGTCTGTATCAATTTAATAAATTCCCATGTACTTTCTCTAAATATTTCCTTTTATATTTCCCTTGAAATCTACCCATCTTTCTACCCACGTTGCAATTTTTTCACCAATGATATGAGTTTATGTTTGTCAGTGTTGTGTTTCTGTGCCCATGGAGGCCTGAAGAGGGAACAGGACTAAGAGATGGTGGCGAGTTGCCATGTGGAGCTGGAATTCAAACCAGGTCCTCTGGAAGAGCTACCAATGCCCATGACCTCCCGCCCATTCCTTCACTTTTTCTAGTTTCCTGCTAATAATGTAATGTCTCAAGTAACATGCTCAGCTTTAGACTCGGGGCAAATGCAGACTTTTCATTCAGAATGAAATACAGATCAAGCTTTCCAGCGAGGGTCAGTAACTCTCTTCTAAATCTGCCTAGTGTTTCCCATACTGTTTCCATTCTATAAGTATTAAATCTTAACGGAATTTATTACTTTCCCATTTTTCCTGTTCTTTTATTTCACCAACAGTAATAACTCAGCTCTTTTGTTGATCTCTTATATATTATGACGCCTGTGTTGCTGCTTTTTTTCAACCTGCTCCTCACAGTTCCCTCAATATTTCTCTTCAAACCTGTATCCACAGCTATTTTATTCCGCCTGGCTTTGAACCAAGCAATATCCAATTTTAACTTACTAACTCAATATTTATAGAAAACTTCCTGATGTTTAAAAGATTTTGAAAACAATTTTCTTTGAATTGACACAAAAATGTGATGTATTTATGGAATATGGGTGATGCTTCAACGTGTGTGCATATAATAAACATATTGCCATAAAACAAAAAAATATGGGGGCTGGAGAAGTGGCTCAGAGGTTAGGAGAACTGACTGCTGTTCCGGAGGTCCTGAGTTCAATTCCCAGCAACCACATGATGGCTCACACCCATCTATAATGAGATCTGGTGCCCAGAACACTATATACATTATAAATAAATTTTTAAAAGTATTAAAAAAAACAAAAAACAAAAAATATGTATTATATATTGTAGTGTAAACTTTTGAAATTCCTTTCCATGGTTTTGAAGTCGATGCTACATTGCAGCTTCTTCTTTGCCATAGCATTCGGAATTTTATTTTTTCCAGAAATAACGTTTCTTCTAGAGAAAACAATTGCCATTCCCCTTTCCAGCTCTGATTCACATCAACATAAACTCTGCAGATTGCAGTCTTCCCTACATGGAGGGTCTTTCACATCCACGGACTCTGATTTAAAATGATTCCCCCAAATTAAAGCCAAACTTACCTTTTCATTGTAAAGAACACTTCACACACACACACACACACACACACACACACACACACACACTTTCTTTACATAAAATGTTGGTTTTATTTAACCTTTTTGGCAAACAAACAAACATAAAACAAAGCATAACTCAAAGAACAGTAGTGCAAAAAATCTCAACACCTGCTCATTTTGTTTCAATAATGACTATGAGTAAGCTATGCCTACCTGTTCCTTTACCATGTAAAGTAAAAAATGGGCAACCCTATTCTCCTAACCACATTATTTAAAAGCAAAAACCTTTTATTAAACCAGTTCATATTGAGGGAACAGATATGGACAACTGTTTTTAATTTAAACACCAAAATAAATCCTTCATACAATCAAATAGCCAGTCATTGTTTGTATTTACTTGAATTCTCATGAATGGCATTTATAGTTTTCCTTGAAATGACATCCAAACACGACTCCCAGTAGGTATTATGGCAACATCCTGTTTTCTTTCAGCTTTATTTTACTTTGTATCTGCTTGTTGAAAGAACAGACTGTAGGGCTATACAGGATCTTGTTTTTTTTCTTATTGCATTTCCAAACCAATGTTTAAGATAACTCATGTTTCAAACCTTGCTACAGAGTGGAACCACCTAGGAACTCAACCCAGACTATAAAAGCTTGGATAAAGCCTCAGAGAGTTTAATTTAGTAGAGTTGGGTGCCATCTGGGCAGGGAGAGTTTGAAGTCTCCTAAGTGTTTGTACAGGGTAGCTAAGGCTGAGGACTATTGCTTTCTTCCAGTAATGGTCAATACTGGATTCATCTGAGAATCTGCTTGGGTACTGATTATGAATTTCTGATTTATTTGAAATGCCAAGATACCTGGGAATATAAGTGTATAAATTAATTTCTCTCTTTAATCCATCAATACTCTAGAAATTGAAAGTAAGTTGAAGGCATGACTGGATATATAATTTTATTGTAATTTATGGTTATATGTTAGATGATAATTTAATGATTGAACAAAATGTATATTTCAATTAGACATTTTCCAATTAAGTACAGATTCAACACTTCCCCAATCTCTAATTTTATGTTTTATTAAGAAAAAAAATCCTGTATTCCAAGAACCCCTGAATAACAAAATTTGTGTTTTGTCTTACAACAAGATAAAGACTCCTCAGAGAGAAAGTAGTCATCCACATCTGGATTTCAGGATTATGTGCAATTAAAGAGCTATAACAAAGCAGAATCTTGTATGAACCCCATTAGTTTAATAACATCACTTAGAATACACAATCTGCCCAATCATTATGTGTGGTGATATCTTGTTTGTGTTTTAACAAATAAAACACTCTGGAGATCAGAGTGCAGAACCAAGCCACTAGAGGCCAGGAGTAGTGGCATACACCTTCAATCTCAAAACTTGGGGGGCAGACAGATATGTTAGTTCAAGGCCAACCTGGGCCACACAGAATTGATCCAGTCTGAAACAGAGCTCACACAAAGGTGGTCCCAGAACGTGGGATCCCACGCCTTTAATCCCAGCACTAGGGAGGTGGAAACAGGAGATCAATGCAGTCTGAGGAGCAATGCAGTTTGAGGAGCAGTGCAGTCTGAGGGAGTCAGTCTGAGAAAGGATCACCCCTTTGATCTGAGCATTGTTAAAGATCAGTCAGACTTCATGCTACAATTATGGAACAGTTCTGCCAAGGATTAGCAGGGACAGACTTACTATGAGGAAACACGCTCCGAGTGTCACAGCCTTCATCTTCACATCAAGGTCAAGTGGGAACTGGATCCCAAAGTTATCTGAGTCTGTGAAGGCCTCTTTCACACACCCCGACCACTGCTTGGAGATCTTGCCGATTCTGGATTTTTCATCAAGAGATTTGATCTACAGATGAAAATAAAAATATAAGCATTTGTAGAATGCATATGGCAAACGTACTTTCAAAACTGGAGTAAAGTCAGACAAATATTTTATTAAAATAATGTTCAAAAATGTTTCTCTTCTTAAATTTCTAGAGGCTAATAGATGAAACTCCTGTTATATATAATCTGCTTGGAGAAGTGTAGCTTTCATGCAGGTTGACCACACAAATGTGGCAGAGACTCATTGCCACTTATGGGTGGTGGACGGGGGAGCATGGAATACATAAAGCCATGAAAAATCTAAAGAATAGCTGGCGACTGGATGGGACCGACAAGAAGCTCTATGGAAGGCTCTCAGGGCAGAGATGGGGTTGGACTTGATAACAAGTGGGGAGTAAAGAATACAAGAAGAAAAGTGTGTGAAATCAGATTTCCAATGCAAAAAACGGTTCTGATTTGCGGGCTCTGTGGGAGAAAGACCCAGTGCCACATTTTATAGTAGAACGGGTAGGACACAAACTAAAGCCACTCCACAGAGGGCACGTGAATGCTCACCAAAATATGTACACACAGGCTTGAGTCAAAGCAGAAGGAGGTATGTCCTTTCCAAACCTACAAAAGGCATCAGAGGAGGAAGCAGCCTCCTTTAAAGTTCTTGCCTCAGACAGTATATAATGTAGGATTGCCTTCTGTATGCTATGAATATGTTTTATTACCATTGGTTATTAAAGAAGCTGTTTGGCCTACGGTTTGGTAGAGTAAAGCCAGAGGGGAAATCCGAACAGAGATTAAAGAGAGAAAGTAGGTGGAGTCAGGGAGACACCATGTAGCTGCCGAAGGAGTAACATGCTAGCACCAGTAAACCACAGTCTAGTGGTGATACACAAATGAGTAGAAATGGGTTAATTTATGATGTTAGAGTTAGCTAGAAAAATTCATAAGCTATTGGCCAAACAGTGTTGTAATTAAGATAGTTTCTGTGTGATTATTTGGATCTGAGTGGCTGGGAAATGAAGCCACAGTCTCTTACTACAAGGATTTACCAAGTAAGCAAAGGGACATTCAAAGGCAGTCAGCATCTTGGTGTGGTTGCAGGAGGATGACACCTTGCATGTGTTGATGTTTATCTCTAACGTGAATGAAAAGTAACAAACCATTGCTCATAGAGTAGTTCTTTCATTCCACACCCACACTGGGCAGAGTACACTTTCTCTTCCTTGAGAACTAGGTTTTCTCCTATGTCTAATTTGGTGCCAGGGTGTGGCAGATGACTTGAGAGTTCACCAAGGCCAACTTGCTTAGCCTTGATGTGCATCCAATGAGCAGTGTCACCCACTGAGCTGCTGTGGGTACAGTCCTGGGACACACTTTCCTTGAGCAGATGGGAGGTCACTTCCTGTTCCAAGAGAGAGCCATCGAGATGAGCTTCCATCAATGCACAGAAACTCACATGGACTAAAGTCCATGATGTGAGCATAGCGATATCAGTTTGAAGTCATGAGCCATTAGAGTTGTATCAGATATGACACGGTGATAAACTGCTCTAAAGCAAATGCTCTTTTGTAACAACTTAGCATCTTATATGCAATAGCTGTCATAAGCATTTATAGTCAGTCATAAAACTTCACATATATGTTTGAAGTGTGAATTATATTATGGAAGATAAACAGCAATTTGTTAATATCATAAACCCAAAACTAAGATAAACACATGGGCATTTACCCATGTGTTTTACAAAGAAATAACTTAAAATTAGCTGAATTTCTTTTCAAGTGTATATGTAATTTTACTGGAGGGATGATCAGAAAAGTAAATTTCAAATTACAGACAAAAGTAACCAGAACAAAAGGATTTTTAGCTAAATTTGAGTTTTTTTATTTTTAATCAAGAGAGTGTATGTTTGTGTGCATGTGAACTTGCAGATCTTGTTGCAGGTGCAGGAGTCTGAGAACAACTTGAGGATGTCATTTTTCTCCTTCCACCACTTTAGTCCTGTGGGTAGAACTCAACTAGCTAACCTGGTAGGTGCTAAGCCACACCTCCAGACCCAGGCAACATTTTAAAGGAGACACCTGAACATCTTTGAACTAATGAGCTGGCCTAAGGACAACTGTAACTGTTCTACTCACAGTTCTAATGCTATTGTTAGGGGCTTGTTCTAATATTTCCCATTTCTAAGACATGAACACTGCCATCACATACTCTGCAGGAAACAGAACAAATGGGTGTTGGTGTAGGAGATTCTTCTCTATTTGTGTTGCTTTCATTGGTTGAATAAAGAAGCTGCCTTGGCCTTTTGATAGGGCAGCCCTTAGGTAGGTGGAGTAGACAGAACAGAATACTGGGAAGAAAAAGGCAGGCAGAGAGAGAGAGCTGCCACGAAGTCGCCAGAGTCAGACATGCTGAATCTTTCCCAGTAGGCCACAGCCTCGAGGTTCTACACAGATTATTAGATATGGGTTAAAGCAAGATGTGAGAGTTAGCCAATAAGAGGCTAGAGATAATGGGCCAGGCAGCAATTTAATTAATACAGATTTTCATCTGTTTATTTCGGGGTTAAACTAGCCGGGCTGCTGGGACACAGCCTGTTCTCCTTCATACTACAGGGTGTTTCTAAGTTCTGTCAAAGACAGGACATAGATAGCATTCTAAATATATCATAGAGGAAGAAACTCATTTAAGACAAGGGGTATTGGAAGGCATCATGAAGATGGAGGACACAATAAAATTTAAAATCATTAAGAATATCACAAAACTCCATTTTTTAAATTAAGCACATGACAGCAAAATTTCCCTTAATAGTGTTTCTTGATTAAAAACAGAAAAAAAATCTATCATATGTTGTAACTACTTACTAACTTCTCTGATATTCACACAAGTATAATGTTCTACATAAAGAATGATCATTACAAATGTTCTTGATTGTTTTTATACACACACACATCATATACATGTTTTTCTGTCACAGATATTTTCTTGAAACTCTCAGTTCTGCCCTTAGCCATGGATTCTGTAAGAGGAGAAAACCACCTTCCCACACCCAAATTCTCAGAGAAATCGAATCCATAGGTATGGAGGAAGAGGCGGTAAAAACTGAATGAACCTGGAAAACAGAAACCTTGGGGAGACTGGGAATGGGGTACCAGAGTTCCCACAAAGGGGCAGCTCTACTCAGCCATAGAGAATCTTTCCTTGTCAGGAAATTAAGTTCATGTTTGCCTCATTTTGATTTTCTAAGAAAAATATGTGGATTTTAGATTAAACAAATTTCCCATCCTTAAATACTTGCTAATAAAATGGAACAATGAGGCTGGTTAGGTCATTTTTTATAGAAACCTTATAATGTCAGACACATTAAAGTGCCAGTGACCTAATTTGCTTCAAGAGTTTCTCAGAACCCAGAGAAGCAGAACTATGCCTTATGCAAGGGCCACATGACCAAGCCCTGCTGGAGGCCTGTAGAAGCAAAGACTACTGCGTTCTATGCATGTGAAATTGTTTCCTTTTAACGTGTTTCTGATATAGAGTTTATTTTAGGGGGATGGGAGAACTGAACTGCTTAAATAAAAAAAACCCTACTAGTAAAACAGAAAATAAAATACTCTTTGAAAAACATTATGGGAATGGGTGTCTCCCTCAAAAGATCTTATTCTCGATTTACTCTTCCTTGATGAAGTAAGTTGAATAGTGCCAGGCAGTGAGAGGAGTCACGTGGCTCCTTTAGGCTACTGAGAGAAGACTGCACGCCCGCTGTGCTGAGAAAGCCCAAGTGTGGGCTTCATGACCGCCCCTCAGAGGCTGTTGTGAAAGACCCTGTGGAGGGTGCACAGGAAGATGACTCACATCCAGGCAGGATGGAGCAGGACAGCCTGAGGTTAGTTCACACTACTGGGAATCGTGTGTGATTTACAACTCAACTCCTGTTTATTTTAGAAATTTTCTATTTCAGATTTTCAAGCCATAGTTCAATAGTTCAAATGGAAAATTTGGAATATGAAACACCAGAGAAAAGAAAAGACATGGCTTCTACTAACCACACTGAAACTTCACTACGTCAGTGGGGTTTTGGCAGGAATTCCAAGTGACAAAATTTGTGTACTTTCCCAAGAGTTGGTGAGGTTTATAATGCAGAATGAAGGAGAAAAGGACCCTAGAATTATCTTAAGTGTTTTGGTTACTCTTAGGTCTAAAATGAATAATACTGTGTTAAAAAAAGGAAGAGTCTCTCTGCTTCTCTCTCTCTCTCTCTCTCTCGTGTGTGTGTATTTATGTATTCATGTTTGTGCATCAGTAGGCATAGTATGTATGACATGGTGACATGGTGGGTATGGAGGTCAGAGGTCAAAGTTAGGTGTCTTCTATCATTGACCACCTTATTGAGACTCAGTCTCTCTCATTGAGCCAGGCTTTTTTTTTTCTTTTTTGAGCTAAAATGGCTGGCCAGCAAGCCTTAGGAAGCGTCCCCCGCACACACACACCTAAACTGGGAGTAGAGGTGGATACCGGCACACTAGGGTTTTCCTGTGGATGCTGGAATCCCCTTCCAGGTTCTCATATTGTACACTAAACAGGCTAGGCATTATGCAAATCACTAGCAAAACTTAAAGAATTTTTAAATGCTTGAAGGTTTTCTTTTCCTTTTTATTTATTTGAATTGACCTCTGTTTGCAGGACACTGAGGATACTCTACATTAACCTTTAATCAGAGTAATGATCTTTGCTCTGAATAATTAAATGACCATTAACTAGATGAATACACATCAGCTCACACTAGGTAACACATTAAGAACATCCTTAGGACTACATTCCTCTCATTAGGAATATATTCTTTTCATGTCAGGAAAGCACATCCTGTGAACGTTGTGATATTTCTTACCTGAAAGTCAATGTCTGTACAGCAGGTGCATGCAACACAGGGACCAACGACTTTTAGAACATCCTCCTTCTTCTCATTTTGAAGAGTCAATTTTGGCAGACATGGATGCCAGTTCTGAGTCACATAACCTATGGGCACACCAGGAGGAGCTTGGATTTCTATCTACAAAAGCAAGAGTGCATGTTGAATGGAACCATAGTCATACCATCCAGGGTTAATGTATTCTTGAAAACTCTGTTGCTCTCCTTCTCAGTTGCTATGGGAACTCCACACTGACCTCCTGGAGACAGCAGGGAAAGCAACAGCTACTGCATCTCAGGGGTCTCTCCAGAGTCATGACCTCTTGACCCAGATTGTCCAGGATCCTCAAGGTGAAAGGTCGAGATGCTTCACAGCAGTTCCGAGTGCAACAGTCAGTATCTTCCACCGCTAGATAAATCATCTGCCCCAGGCTGTTCTTAATTTCAAATTTATTATTTGTTTCAAAGCCTGTTAATACTGAAAGCACACAGGGGAAGTCCCATTCACCACTTTGTTAGGAACAATGACTACAGTTAGGTAGCAATGGGAAGGGTGCCTGAGACTGCAGGGAGCAGCAGGAAGTGGGAGGCAAGCAATGGAGAGATGATCCGGACTCGAGAGATGGCAGTGGGAGAAGAGAAGAGGTGAGAAGAAAAGATGTCCAAATGTGAGACTTCCTCAGGGATCAGGCTGCATGTCCACCTCCATGGACTGTATCACAAGGGGGCTTCAGTGTCTGTGGAGGTGCAGTGCTGAGGGGAAAGGTGGGGCTAGGTGTGTGCAGAAATGCCCAGTCATCTCTTCTGTCAGAGTTTTGCTTTATGACTGAGAGGGATTCTTTTAAAAGCACAGATGGAATAGTAGTAGTAGTATGTGTATTATGTTAAGTTCTTTGGACTCTTTTGGGGAACCCACCACCCAGCTCCCAAACGAATCGCACACAGAGGCTTATTCTTAGTTACAAACATCCAGCCTTAGCTTGGCTTGTTTCTTGCCCACTTTTCTTACCTTATATTATCCCTTCTGTCTTTTGCCTCTGGGCTTTCCTATTCTCTTACTTCTGGAAATTTTATTCTTACTTCGTGGATTGCTGTGTAGTTAGGTGGCTGGCTCCTGGTGTCCTCCTCCTTCTCTGGCTACTTCTCCAGCAGCTTTCTCCCAGCTTTCTCCTTCTATCTATTCTCTCTGCCTGCCAGCCCCACCTATCCTTTCTCCTGCCTCTCCTATTGGCCGTTCAGGTCTTTCTTAGACCATCGGGTATTCCAGACAGGCAAAGTATCACAGCTTCACAGAGTTAAACAAATGTAACATAAACAAAAGTAATTTGTTAAAATAATATTCCCAACACAGAGATGTGAAAATAAAGAGTGAAACTAGAATGGAATCAGAAGAGGTCATTGGCCCAAGGAATCTGGAAACAGCCTGTTATATTTTAAGTCTGCTTGCCCTAACAAAAATAGTCCTTAGATTATTTGAAATACGGGTATGGGACTATATAAAAGCAAAATCAATTCTATCTGTACTTAATTAATTGTAACTGACCTTACAACCTGGGACATGTTATAGAAAAATCAAACAAATATGATATAATCTATATATATATCCTTCAAAAACTCATTGAGTCTGTCTTTGTCTTATGAACCTGTATAAATAAAGAAGCAACCTGATTGCTAGTCAGAACGGCAAGATTTCCCCCACCATCGAGCCAGACCCACTTGTCCTCCCTGACGCCTTACCTGCTATCTGGACCTGTGAAGGTGTTTTCTAGAATCGAGCCAACTTTTCATAATGCCCCACTAGCTAGAAGACGACACTGGTTCATACATCCTTCTTGGCTGCCTTCTGGAGGGTGCGGTGATGCACCTAGCGGTGTCTTAAGTTCTTGCATCTGGGGACACTGGACCCAAGGAGGCTTCTGAAAGCTCTTTTCCCACTCAGATCAGGTGCTTTCTGTGAGGAGCAGCTTTGGGGGGCTGTGTGCAGTCCCCCTGAGACCACACGGCCATTCCCCTCAGCTGGAATCCACAGCTCACAATGTATAGATTCTCTAAGACTCCGCTGTACTTCCAGCAGAAGCTGGGCTTACTAACAATTTTGTTGTTGTTGAGACAGGGTTTCTCTGTAGCTTTGAAGCCTGTCTTGGGACTACCTCTTGTAGACCAGGCTGGCCTCGAACTCACAGAGATCTGCCTACCTCTGCCTCCCAAGTGCTGGGATTAAAGGCCCGGGCTACTAAAAATGATTTTACAAAGTGTCCCTGTCCTGCTTCCTATGGACCATTCACTGTGGGAGCCAAACCATTGTCCGAGGCTCAGCTCAAGTCTCATAGGTCATGGGCTGGCAGAGAGTGGCAAAGAGGTAGGAGTCAGGTGAAGGGCGAGCGGAGTTTAGTGCAAGCAGAGAAGAGAGCACAGCGTCGCCGGATTCCTTTCTAAGGCGTGGGAACACACGTCTGCACAGGAAGTTTCATCACCTGACTCCTACTAGAAGTGGTCAGGAAATTATGTTCATAGCCTCTTTACAGTCAAGTGAAACCTCTGTAGCCTCCTGGCTGAACCTCCCACAGAAGAGCGCTGTAGGAGAGGCAGCTCACAGGCCGTTAACTGTATGAACTCCATGCTCCTGTTTCTAGAAATACCATCAATAGAAGGGATACACACCTTCCAGAAGTTCAGTTTGCTGATGAATCAGAATCTGATCTATCTGTTACAGAAAAGAGAATGAGCATGGGGTTATTTATCAAGCCTCAGTCGGATCAACATTCCACACTTTGCATTGCATTGTGCCTAGCATTACATTTTTATATTTCAATGGCAAATGCTTATTTAAAGATGTATTTATTTTGCGCATATGAATGTTTTGCCTACATGTATGTAAGGGTGCCCCTTGTATGCAGTACATTCAGAAGCCAGAGTGGGAGTCAGACTCACTGAAACTGGGGCTGAAGATAGTTGTGAGGGGCCATCTGGGAGCTGGGAATCAAGCTCCCACATGGCCCCTTACTTGGTGTGTGTGAATGGATAACAATGTCCTCTTTATAGCTGAATATTCACAATGACCAAACACTTCGAAGCCTGACTTTGAAAGCACATAGGACATGTTAGTGGCATGTGTGCAAGACAGACTGGAGATGGATGGATCATCGTAGACTGAGTACACCCCACAGCCCTCTTTTACTTCACTGACTTTTCATACCGAGCTATTATTAAACTTCATATTTTTGCTAAAATTTATTATCACTGAACTGTAGTTCAGAAAGACCCAGACTTTCCTCCCTCACTGTAGGTATTTATAATATTCTAAGAATATTTATTTTATTTATTTATTTATTCATTTATTTTAAGAATAAAAGCAGCTTTGTAGTCTATAAAAATACATATATGAAAAATTACTCTTTCCAGGCAGTGGTAGCCCAGTTCTTTAATTCCAGTACTTGGGAGATAGAGGCAGGCAGATCTCATGTTCAAGGTCAACCTGGTTTACAAAGTGAGTTCCAGGATAGTCAGAGTATGCAGGGAAACCCTGTCTCAAACACAAAACAAAACAAAAACAGAAAAAAAGAAAAATTTAAAAATTGTTCTTTATGTATCACTAAAGATAATATCTAAAAAATTTTTTACACTTTGTTTTCTCAAATTCCAAGGCTGTGGGTCAGCCTTTGTGCTCATTACCAAAGTTCAAATAAAAAGTAAATTGCAATGGTTGCTCCTTGGTTTTTGAGACTTAACAAAGCATTTAAGATCCTCTGACACTAGTTTCTACTTCCAAAGAACAGTGACAATTATTTAGGGAAAAATATCACAGATTATCTGTAAGGACTTACTTGGGACAAAGAGTAGAATAATGTATAATAAATTCTACCTGTTGACTGTTATCATAGGCTAACCTCACAGGAAAGAAAACACAACCATCTCACACACTGATAATTTGCTTAACTGAACTTCATTTGGGGGAACTGAGTAACTAGAAGACACAGAGGCAAATGCTACACTCTGGGAAATTATCCATTTATTGTCAAAGCACATTAGAAGTAGAAACACAGTTTTGTCTTTTGTGAGTGTTGAGCATGTGAATTTACCTGACTTAAGTATTCTAGCCCAGGTGGGCAGTTCTGAAGAGGTGGCGGTGCTGGCATCCACTGGGTATTAACAAGGATGATAGCCTGGCTATTTTGAGTAGGAAGCTGGGTTGCATTATAACCTTCACTGCCAGCTGTTGAGACTGTGTAGCCAAGCTGAGGCCCGGGATAAGCAGACTGGGGACCTTGGTAGCCAGTCTGGAGTGCTGTAGGCCGTCCAGTATGTGCCGAAGGTCCTGAAATAGGAGCAAAACAACAACAACAACAACAACAACAAAAGACTTGTAACTTCATAGAGAAAAAGAATCATCAGTTCATATAGACTTGTCCTGTGACCTCTCCACTCACAAGGTCTGGTCTATGGCATTTAAGGCTTCTCAATACAGTATCGGTGGCTTATCCCTGCTTCTAATTATAAACATGAAGAATAAACAGCCAAGTTTATTGTAACACTAGTCACATCAGCCAAGATGTGGAATCAGCCTACATCCCTACCGATGGATGAAGAAAATTTAACACACATGCATACACAGATATAGATAGGGATGTAGACACAGGTATTATGGATCTAGATATGGATAATGGTGGATTCAGCCATAAAGAAGCATGAAATCATTTGTAGGAGGAAGTATGAAACCAGACATCACCATATAACGAGACACAAGTCTGAGAGATGCACAGGTGTTTCTGTCACTAAGGAACGACTCTGGATCGTAGTGATTTTCTGTTTGTTGGGATTTAGACTACTGTTTTTTTTATCTGAACTCTGAAATGAACTATAATATCATATTTCTTTTTATATCTTCTACTTACGCATCACCCCTGGGGTGCACACGCACACACATGCGCACACAAGGTTTAGAACAACACAGCAAAGCTCACAACAATTTTAAAAATTAAATCAGCAGACCAAGTAACACATTGCGCTGTGACACCGATATACTTGAGTATCGTGTCCTTTGCTCACAGTTCATCTCCCATCATCCTTGTGTACCACCCTGTATCTTTCCACTGAGTTCTGACCAGTCCCCCAAATAGTGTAGTTTGCTTTTGATCTTATACAGACCCATTTTTCTAAAATCTAGATTCCACAAAAATAATTTTAAAAAGGTAGTGATATCTGTCTTTGGAAATCTGGCTTGTATCTCTATCTATGTTTTTGTTGTTATTGTTATTTTGCTTTTTGGTACTTGTTTGTTGAAATGGTTTTACTATACTGCCCTGGCTGGCAGGTTTTTAACTTGCTATGTAGGTCAAACTGGTGTCAAACTCACAGAACTCCCAAGTGTTGGGATTAAAGGCATGCACAACCAGCCTGGTTTGTATCTCTTAGTATGGTGCTATCCAATTTCATCCATCTTCTACAAATGACATAATTTTCACTCTTCTTTCTGACTGAATAAAGGGGCCCCTGCAGGTGTTGTATGGAGAAGGGAACCATGCAAAAGAGAGAAGAAAACCCAGTGCATATTGACTTCATCAACCCGTATCAGACTTCCAGGACTCTGCTAAAAGGTAGTTTATTTCCAAGGTATTTATGCCCAGTATTGTGGGATATTTGTACACTGTGAAGATGTATTGCTGTGACTGGTGTAATAAAAAGCTGAACAGCTAATAGCTAGGCAGGCAAGAGAGGTGGGTGGGACTTTCGGGCAGTGAGGTATCAAGTCACTCAATGAAATATAGATTTAAAAACATGGGTTAAGTTATAAGAACTGGTTAGAAGAAAAAGCTAATCTAAGGCCGGGCTTTTATAATGAATAATAAGTCTCTTGTGTCAGTATTTGTAAGCTGGCAGACCAAAGAAGAATCCATCTACACGGTACAATACGAGGAAAGTTTCCTGGTGTAATACAGTCCCTACTGAAAAAGGAAACAGAATTACTTTGAAACTCAATTCAGGAAATGTGTCATTTCTTCCAAGAAAATGGATCCTAGAGATAGACTTCCTGTATCTCTTAAGGGCCTACGGAAGGGTTTGGCCTGTCTCGATGACAAAGAAGGCTTAGAGGTCATGTAGGCTATTAGCCACCTCTAGTCCTAATTATGGGAGCTTAGGGGAGACTCTGGCTATAAGGGTCATTTAGATTATTAGTCACCTCCTGGTTGTAGGAGCTTGATATGGCCTGGTCTGACAAGATCACAAGGCAGTTAATCATTTCCAACTCTCACATTTCTGGATGGAAGAACAGGTTTTTCATCTATCCCAAACCAAGCTAACACACTCCATGCCCGATACGAACTGAATGTATCATGTATGCCGATTTTAAGCTAGCTGTAAGGCTAATTAAACTGTTCTATGGGTGCCTAGGTTAAATTATGGACAATCTAGGAATTCTCCAAGTATTGCATCTACAAGAACTCAGAACCATTCTCAGTTGAGCATTCTCAACCCAGGCCTCAGATTACCAACACCTGGCTTTTCGGAAATTACCAGCCATTTTTTAGAGGTGTGCTTTAATTTCCCTGCGAATATTCTCTGTATTAGTATTTTTAAATGAAAATTAATGACAGCCATGGTTGTGAACTGCTGCCTTGGAGCTTTGGAGTTTAGCCAGTTCCTATTCCTTTAATTGCAAACATCTGGATTTGATCTGAGACCCCCCTGGGGAGTTTTCTAAGACAATTACACAGGCTAGTCAGCTCCCAAACCAATCTGTTTACTCAGAAATGAAAACTGAACGCTTGTACCCTTCTGCCTAACCAGAACACCTTTGATATGAAGCCCCAGGGTGCTCTTTGAGGATCTGGAGAGCCTGTTACTGGTAAATCTAGGTATACCATCAACATTGGCCTTTACAAACGTCCAGTAATGCTGACATTTCCATTTGCCTAGATCTCTGAAATAGTTTACTGTTGGAAAAGATAAATGAACATCTAGTATGTATTGTATGTGACTAAAGAACGGGGCAACATGTATGAAGTCTTTGCATGTGTTGCAAAACGAAAATGAAGCTTACTATGAAGTGGGGACATTTTTGCTGTACGTAGCTTCCAGATTTATGTTTTATTATTGTTCACAGAGTACAATTAATTCGAAATACATGGTCCAAAAACACCCACAGTTAAATCTTCTAGACATCATTACATGAAGCAATTTCAGCACAGATGAGCAGCCAACAAAACTTTTTACTTACTATCTGTATCAATATTTATTGTCAACATTGTATTTCATGAGTAAATATAAACTGTGTATTGCATTAGTTCTTCACATCATTTACTGTTCTTTATAAATAAAAAATATTTCCTTGGAAAGCATGTATAGTCTAAAAGCAAAACCTAGTTCACCAACATTTCTTTAATCCACTTTAAAAAATTACTAAAGTAAAGACATAGTCACCACCCTTTTCTCTCTCTTGGGAACATCAATTGATTAGTGCTATATATTTTTTTCTTCAAGTATTTTACCTTGGAATGCTGCTGGTGGATACTGAGGGACATGCCCAGCTGGCATGTGTCTTCCTGGGCGGGGAGCCTCCATTGGCGTGCCTGCAGTTCAGAGAGAGGACATGTTTATCTGCTTAGATGAGAGGTGCATTGGGAAGATGTGTGATGCTGAACTGAGACATGCAAAGGCAATCCAGCACATTAAGATGTCCGTGCCTGTGACAGAGCCAGCCCGGAAATCCTGTGTGCAGCAACTTCTCTTTCAGGTAGCTTGAGGCAGTGGTGACCGGTGCTGAATTCCCAAGATTTTTCATTTGTGACATTAGACCAAAGATAATTTTAAAAGCATACATAGATGGACAGTGTAGAAAATAATAAAACTCCCTGTATGTGGGGAAGGTAGTAGCTAGAAATGTGGACTGTTTTTTTAGTAACTATTTTCACTAATTCTTCGAGAATTTCATACTAAGTATTTTTGACATATTCGCTCCAATTCCTCACTGAACTCCTCCCAGGAGAACTCAAACTGGAGGCAATGGTTTATTAAACTATGAATTAAGAGTCTGTAATCATTACCCTAAGAATTTAGAGTCCTCAGGCCTTAACTGTTAATAGTACTTGATGCTATTCAGAGGGCTCAGTTTGGATACCAGCACTCACCCTGGGCAGTTCACAACTACCTGTGAAACCGGCTCTAGTGGATGAATACTCCTGGCCTCTGGGGGTATCTGCACTCATACACGCACACACACATGCACACACACACACACACACACACACAAATAAGAAAACAAATCTTTAGCACATACACTTCTGTGTTGCCATTTTTATGCTTATACTGAACCTGTACTACAGGGGCTGTGTAGTTATATGTTTGGTTTTGTTGTCGCTGTTTCCTTGTGTTGTTTTGTTTTGTTTTGTTTAGGGAGGAGTGTTTGGGACAGGATTTCTCTGCGTTAACTATGGAACCAGTCCTGGAACTCCCCCTGTAGACCAGGTTGTCCTCAAATACACAGAGACAGAGACCCACCTGCCTCCCAAGTGCTGGGATTAAAGGCGTGCGCCACCCATCCCCCCCCCACCCCGTTGTTATTTATATTTAGTTTTTATTGTCTACAGTCTGCTCCTTAAGCAACTCAAGGGCAGCAGTCCCGGTGAGATTCTGTTCCCTCAGGCACCTACTCTTTCAAAACTACCAAGGGAAGCTTTAGCTAAATCTAAAGAACTCACAATTTAAGGTTTGAGGTGGAATTCTCGGTGAGAGAAGCTGAAGAGCAAGTAGCTAATCTTCTCCCTTGGCTGGTGTCTTCCAAAGAACCCTGTCCTTTTCTCCGCTCCCACTTAAAAATCCTTGCTCTGCGTGGTTCCTCCCTACCACTTCCTGCCAGATACTTGCTGACGCAGCCTCCTGCTCGCAGGTTAATTTTATTTTAATCAAGCACACCATTTAATTGTTAACAAAAGCGACAAGAAAAAAAAATGCCACATACTTTAAAATAATATTCCCCAACAGGGCTGAAGTGTACAAAATTTCTGTTTGGGTGAGAACTTCAGCCCAGCCGCTGGCATCCATATATCTACAGTCTGAAATAAAATGTTCAGCAGGAAGCTCCATTCCAAGTCCCCTCCCCCATCCCTCTCCAAACCTTGCTTCATCTTAGAAAGCCTGCCAAATGATGACCCTTTCCCCCAGAGATGCTCAAGACCACTCCATGGGGTATTTAAGCTGCCCCCCCCACCCCAGAAAAAAGACATGTGGTTTTCTGGTCTTCCTTTCTGTTTCCTCTCTTGGGGGCTGGAAAAATCATCCCAGAGCGTTGTATCCATTAAACCCAGGCTTTTTCTAATTCAGTCTGATCTGTCGGTAGAAAAGTTTATTGGGGTAGGGAAACTTTTCAGCTTCTAAATCACAGTTAACTGACTTCTAAAAACTATGCTATTCACTTACAGTCAAGTAACACATTACAATGTTATCTTCTACATATTATGTCCTGAATCATCTTACTATGTGCACAAATGTTTTAGTCCACTGCTTCCTCATGGACACATCTCTCTAGTGAGTCATTTACCACCTCAAGCAGTCAATAAATATAAAGTGTACATCTTCTGTGTTACTTTTGGTTACACTCTAGGTGACAATGGCTCTGTCGTTGTAGAAATTATGATCTAGTAGACATTACACTTACTTTATTTTCTCCTCCATTTCTTGTCAAGTTATTGACCACAAATTCAAATGTTTCCGTTGCTGAGTTATAGAAACATGGCCTTAACATAGAAGGAACTATTCTGGCTTTCAAACTGTTATTTTTGACATGTCGCCCTTCTGTGGACTTTTAAGTATCACCTAACTCATTCATTTATGTGTGTTCATGAAAAGGCTAGATTGAAGTCATTCTCCTTTTTGAAATCAACAGGAAGTCTTTATTAGCAGGCCAGAGTGGTTTTCATGGTTCTAAAACCTGGGTGATCAGATTCCTGATATAGAACCGAGCCTTTCTCAGGGTTAGCTTTTAAGCACAAAAACCACATCTTGGGTTTACACACTTTAATTGACAAGAACAGTTAGACAGAAGCAGAATTAAAGAACCTGTGCCACCACTGCCTGGCAGTTTTCACCATCTATTAATGGTTCTCTTCTCAGGCATGTTGCTTAGGTTTGAAAGCAGCTGGGTCTGGCTTAATGAAGAATCACCAAAAAGGCTTTAGGAAAAGAAGAAATATTCATGCTGTTTGTATTCCTAAAGTTTCTAGTAAAGTTTCCTAGGTTCCATGCCATGTGACTCGCCATAACAACAGAACAGAACTTTTGGCACAATCTGATGGTGATCACATACCTCTTCTGAACTATGGATGATGCTCATGGGAAGTTGAGACTTCACTCTGTTAAAAACCACAAGGCTGCACGGGAATCCTGAGCAACTGGACAGCTGCCACACTCTCCCAGCAAGGAGAGCTTTGGGGACAGTGACTTGTCTCCACAGTTCATGGTTTAGTAAAAGCTTTTAATCCAAACCTCTGAGGTCAGAAAATTCTATTATAGCTTTTGAAAGACCTGGATAAATCCAAACCCCCTTAGCAGGAAAAAATAGAGCCAAAAATCTAAGCAGGGAGAGAAGAATCAGAAATCTAGGATTAGCCGGTTCAGTGACCGTTTCCAGAACTAGCTGAAGATAAAGTTAGATTGTAATCTTGAGAATAATCTTGAGAAACAGGGAGTTGTTCCCTTGTGATTATCACTGGTAGTTTTGGAATACTCTGTTTCAGGAACTAGCTGATTATAATCTTGAGAATGACCTTGAGAAACAGGGAGTTGCCCCCTTGTGTTCCTCACTGGATTTTCGGAATTTTCTATAACGCCCTCCCTGCCCCCTTCGGATTACTGGGCTATGGTTTCTTCCCTTAAAAACCACTTCTCCCAGTTACTCAGGGTCAAACTCCTCCCCTGTGTGGGTTATGAGTCTCAGCCCCAGTGCACTGGCTCCTTTCAATAAACCTCGTGTGATTGCAGCAAGGACAGTCTCTCGTGAGTTACTGGGGGGGGGGTGTCGTGTTATCCCGAGAGTATCCCCACACCGGGGATCTTTCACTTTCAAAAAGTATTGCTGAAATATCATAAAACCATTGTGCTAATCAAGTAAGTAAAAAATAGGTTTGGGCTACTTAATGAGAAAATTACTTATTTCATTAATTTTGTCTCAATTTCTGACATACTTTCTACTCTTCCCTCATCTCATTCTCACTGACTGGTGGGACATTGGAGACTTAGAATTCTGGTGTTGGCCTCCGGAACAGATCAGAGTTGGGAAATTAACCTCTAATGACTTACAAACATTAGGCTCTATTCACGTAAAGTAGTTCATCTTGTGTAGTGAATGATTTGGGGTTCAGTCACTCCTGGCAATGTGTGTAGACACATTTTGTGCATTCGAGAGGTTCACATCTAAAAAGACATGCACTTGAGCTCCTGAGCTGTGTTTTGGGTAATGTTCTATGCAGCCAGGAGAGGTGTGCTTGCAAGAATTTGGGCTCGAAGATGTCAGTGAGCTCTTGGGGACACTGTGCAAGCTAGAAGTACCAGAATGGAGAGAAACAGTAAGACTTTCTACCAAAACCCACTTTGGCATTCAAGGATAAAGAAAAGCTGCTTAGTAATATTTATGGGAAGCATCTTAGAGAATTTTATTCATAAACTTTGAATGTAGATTATATATCAACTAGTACAAATGGGCACGCATGCGCTCACACACCTATTTGCAGAAACATTCTCTAATTATCATTTAAATATTTGCATAATAAAAGCTACTGTCAACTCAGTCCCTTATGAGGTCGTAGCATCTACACTAACAACTTATATTAGTTGATGCAAAATCAATTTAATACTTTATGTCTGTGCTACTTACACAATTTCTAAAACAAGCTGACTCAGGATCCGTCCTCAGATATGAAGCAAAGGAGAGGGCCACCCTCAGACAGCCTGAGTGGGCAGCTGGTGAGCTATTCCACTCTGCCTTCTCCTGCTGTTCCTTTCTTTCCTGTGCATCCGGTATTCTAGAATGCCAAGCACAGTTTGGGCTCCTATTAGTATTTATCGCTCAACAGCTATCAGGATCTGTGACTTGTTCCTCTAATATACCTCCTAGATTCAGGGTTCCATGGAATTGTGAAGGAGTGTGTGCCTGGTGATCTTTGCAAATAGGATGTACTATGGAAGGCTAGGCGTACTGAGAGAAGAAAAGAGAAAAGAGCCATCTACTACTTCCTAGCCATTATTTATGACATGCACATTCATATTTGGCATCCTGTGCCACAGATGGCATGGGGTACGTCTGAAAACACCTTCACAAACCGTATACTCTGGTCAGGGTAATGACAAGCAGAAGGATGAGGTAGAAGCAGTCACCAGGCCAGAATTGATATTTTAAACATGCTTAATAACATCTGCTTTGAGAGATAAAAGCAAGCAGATTCTCAAAGAGAATGACCCTCCTGGGAGGGATAGCGTGTCTGAAACAGATAAGAACAATTGCTGGGTCTTAGTGCACGTGGTGGGCTCTTTGCATTTCAGCTGTGAGCATTGTCTTGTTAAGTAAGATGATTTATAGCATTAACAGTCCTTCTTAGAGTGGCCCTTGAAGGTGAGGTTGTCTGGAACACTAGAAGTTAATCTCTAATATTTGTGTGACAAATCTCACAACTACTAGATCCAGTTACTAGCAGTCAACGGCTGGTTATTTGGGTTGTGAGGGGGGTGTTTTTATTTTTGGCCTTTTGTCTCTGTAATTAATCCTTTTACAGATGTAGACAGATGCCTCCCATATCTTGACAAGGCTGAGGACCTCCGTTGAAATAGGACTCTTCCCCGAGTTAAACAGGAAATCTCGTTGACAACCTAAAGACCAGCCTCAAGTAGAAAGACAAAGAACACCTCTAAATACACGCTAGAAAATGGAAGATCGGTCTCCTCGTTAAAAGACGCACGAAAATAACCCTAAACCCCTACCTGCCTACAAGCAAACCTTACTGAGCTACGTTTTACCTCTCCAGCCAGAGTTCCTTCCTTGCCCCTGTGCCCACTTTCACTTTCCAGGCGTCCAGGTCACATTTCTCAAACTCTAGCCCACATCTCCACCTTCAGAGTCCTCCTCCCGGGACTTCCGAATTTTTGTGTCCTGCGCGGGCCACAGATGCTCTTAGGACAGATAGGGCTTACCGTTGTTAAGCAGCAAATCCTGGAACCCGCAGCGTCGCTGCTCTCCAGACCCCTCTGAGAAAGCAAGGGTGCTGCACTCCACTAAAGGCGGGAGAAAAGCTTCCTGAAGTGACTCAGCTGCGGGTGGCTAAGGTTTTGTTTCCTGAGTTTTGCATACAAAATGATTTCCTTTTCCCACCGGAAAGTTACGCCCCTGTACCCTAGGTGAAGTTCAGCCAAACAGCGAGCTGAGTTCTGAGGCCTTTATTGCCCCTCCCGCTGCCAGCTCTGGGCTAGAAGTGATCTGGTCTGTGCACATTTCTGGGACTCTAAGAGAACTCATGGAATTTCCTTTACTCTGACCTCCACTACGTTCTTCAGACTCTGGGACTCAGGAATGCTTTTGCTACTTCTCTTTTCGTTTAGATTTTCCTTGCTTGGTTTATTTGTTTGGGGATGGGAGAGTTTGAGTATTTATCCCAGAAACCCTCAAATCCCCAAGTTCCCCAGAGTACTCGTAGGAGCCACCATAACCAGCCAATGCTGTTTTTCTTTATGGTGTTTTTGTCATTGAAGAGCCCAGAAATATGAAGAAGTGTACGGTTTTGCCCAGTACTCATATTTCCCACTGATATGTGCTCTCACCCTGCCTTGCATTCTCTCAGATAAGGAAAAGACAACGTAAACATCTTGAATTAACACCCTGTAATGAGGAACTGTAAAGCCCAACTCTTGGAATGCATTCCCAAAGGGGTCGCAAATCCAAAGAGCTGCACTGTCTTAGGAGCCCCTCTTACTCTAGGTCATAAGTCTCAACTCCAAGAACCATACTGTCCAGAGGCTGAAAACCATGCACCCCTACACATGGCCCTTCTCTATGAAAGGATATTCAATGCCCCTTCTTGGGGTCACAGAACCAAATAATTTTCTGTGGTCCTGGCTAGCTAAGTTTTGATCCCCACGGTGCTTACTTGTTTGTTTGTTTTTTTAAATAAAGTTGCTTCTGGTTTATATGAAAGAACCCTGGAGTGGGGAGACTCTCACTCAAGTCTAGGGATAACACGACCCCCCAGGAATTCACGAGAGACAGTCCTTGCTGCAATCATATGAGGTTTATTGACAGGACAGGAACCAGAGCACTGGGGCCGAAACTCATTTCTCATGCAGGGATAGAGAGTTCAGCCCCGACTAGCTGGGAGAAGGGGTATTTAAGGGAAGAAACCATAACCCAATAGCCCAAAGGGGGTAGGGAGGGAGTCATTGGAAAATTCTGAAAATACTAGTGATAATCACAAGTGGGTAACTCCCTATTTCTCAAGATTATTCTCAAGATTATAATCTAACTTTATGGTCAGCTAGTTCCTGGAATAGAGTCGCTGAACTGGCTAACCTAGATTTTTGGTTCTTCTCTCCCTGCTAGATATTTTTGGCTTTACTCTTTCTGCTAGAGGGGTCTGAATTTATCCGGGTCTTTCATATAGACTTCAGTGATCTGCTCCCTGTTTTTTTGCGCAATTCCAGGACCCAACAGTCATGATCACGAGAAATCTGTTGTTCTCGTTGGGATGAATGGGTCTCTCTGACATGGAGTCTCCCCATAATTGTAATGGGTCTGGACTCACTCAAAGATAGATTCAACATGACCATGAATTAATTTTAATAAGAGGAGCATTTATTAAATACTGGTCTTGGATACTCTTGGAGACAGGACTATAGCTTCTAGTCATATCAACCCAGTCTAAACCCACAAGATTTCATGTATTTTTGTCTACTTGTAGGCAGAGTCTAATTTTAACATAGTACGCATTACAATTTTCCTAGTCTTTGAGCAAAGTAAGCAAAGTAAACTGCTATTTGGGCAGAAATAGCAGTTCAGACTCAGTGTTGAGTCTCAAACACTGGACAAAGCTGAGATTCTATTAACATATCAAAGCTGATGCTGGCCCCCAGGATCTTTCTTCATCCCTCAGAGTATGACTGGCATACTCAGCCCAGTACCCTCAAACATCTCCAGCTGGTGATCTGAGCTGCCCTTCCCTATATAATCCAACCATTTTGGTTACCTGATCCATTCTTTGGTCTACCCTTTATCTCTTGGCCAGTCTCTTAGACCAGGCTGCCCCTCTTGGTTGGCAGCCCCCTTTTCCTCCCCTTTCTCTTCATGTGGCCCAGCTCAGTCTAGCTCTATTCACTATGAACTCTTCCACATGTCTCTGCCTCTGGCTTGTACTCTCCCTGTTATCTATAAACAACCTTCTCCAACATACCAAGGAGCAGTCAGGACCTTTTTATCTCTTTTTATTCACTTATGACCTCCTATCTTGCTACAACAGCAAATTTTACAAGATCTGCAGGAATGGGGGTGGGGAGAACTAGACAGGTACAACAGCAAATTTTACAAGATCTGCAGGAATGGGGGTGGGGAGAACTAGACAGGTACAGCCTTTGCAAGCTAGGGACTTACATGCTCAAGTTATTTTATTTTACTTGTTTGGTGTTTTAATCATAGTAAGTCTAAACTTTAAATGTTACTGTTAACCATCGCAGTTCTTATAAGTCTACTAAGCTATTGTGGGCTGTTTTTCCTGTCTCCCTTTACTCTTCCCAACACAAAATGACTACAGAATTCTTTTAATTTTTTAACAGATAAAAATTCTCGAGAGGGGCTCATAATTAGATTCTCTGACTGGCAGACAGAGGGAGCAAGGTCAATGACGACATAATAGAGGTGGCAAACTTCCGAAGGGCTATTTTCTTTCTCTCCTGCCTGACCCAAAACAAAATCCTGGCAGCTTAAAACAAGGGTCTGGTGGCCATTTTCTCTTATTGTGAGAGCCAAAGTTACATTTGGAGTTTTAATTGCTGTGCCTTAGAGATCCACAAAACAAAAATCCCGCTGACCGGCGAGCCCAAGGACAGGGCCTGAAATGCAAGAGGCTAGTATCTCAAGGGAGATAACAAGCCACACGTTTCTACTCCCTAAACAAGTTTGTTTGACCCATCTGCACTGGCTGTGCTTGACCACAAATGGGCAGGAGGTTTACAAGCAGAAAATATCCAGGCTGTATGCCTGCCCTGATTGAAACTGGTAGGAAATATTTAAGCCTCTGCAAACTGTGACTTGGGCCACTTTTCTGGAAAAACCATAGATGAACATGGTCAGAGTCTATCCACCTGGCCAGTATTTAATTAATGCTTGCTTCGAATTTGGCTTTAAATTGTGGTAGTGGTCTTGTCTGGAATGGTGGGATTAACACTATCCTTAGGCCCTCTGCTGATGAACTTGCTTAACAAGTTCAAGGCCTGATCAGTACTTGTTTACACAGCAGCTGTGGGCCAGTCCTTCCCCCTGTCTTTCTTCAAACTGACAAACCCTTGACTAGGAAAGGAGGACTCTTTAGAGGCTTACAAAATACAGGCCTTGGGAGGAGAGTAGGCTTTTGGCTTCCTGAGTTCCCCCTCTCCATTTTGGAGCATCTTTTTCTCCTCGTGCTTGCTAGAACCCTGTGTTTTCCTTACTCCCAATAACCAACAGCCTTTCCTCAAAGGCTGATTCTGCCTGCTGTGTTTGGGTTTTCTTCCTGGCTACCTGTCAAGCTTGAGATTTTTCCTTCCTGTTAGTTTTTTAACTGACATTGAAAATGAACCCCATCACGGTACCTCGCTGGTGACACTAGTCTGTAGTCACCAGAAAATGGTGACAGATTTTCCTCCATAAAGAGTAAGTTATACCCTTAACTAAATTGATAGACCACATTTCATTTGAAAATGAAAGCCATGCCAAGGATGTAGTGGAATTGGTAGAGGCCACAGTGCCTGCCCAATCCCTCCCCTGTCCACCAAGGCAAGCAGATGTTCCTCCTGCTTCCAGTCTGAGCTCTCTTTTCCCAACTCTTTCCCAAAAAGGTAGCTTCTCCTCTTTTCCCCCACTTCTCTCTCTGTTTCTCTTTCTCTCTCTCTGCTTTCCCCCTTTCTCTCATTCCCCTCCATAATCTACTAAATAAATACCCACTTTCTCTGCATGGTGTGCCCATCCCTGTCAATCTCTCACCTGCCACAGCTCCTCATGGGACCCACAGAGGCCTCTGGGGGTGGGACCGGGCTGCCCCTTGTGGCCCTCCTGGTCTCCCACCCACCGCTGCCCTAAACCACCTGCAGTGGTCCGCTGCTTCCTCTGGGGGAACGCACCACAGTCTTTTACCAATGCACTTAGCTCTCCAAAAGGCTCCAGGTTCTACCCTCAACACCCCAGAGATGGGGAAAACTAAACTAGGGTGTAGTGAAACCTTGCAACTAGATCACTCTGTGGGTAGGTAAAAGATTTATTGAACAATCAAACTGCTGGATCTGTCTCTGGGTAATTAGAACTGCAATTGGCAGAAAGAGCCTTGCCAGTTTAAGGACAAAGGTAGCAGCAGGTGGAGGGAGGCCTGTGACACAGAACAGCCTGGGAATTAGAGCAGGGCAGAGGGAAAAGAGAACTCTAACAGCCTAGGAGCTAGATGCGGACTGTAATCATTTGCAGGCTCCTTTGGGTTAATCAGGAACTACGCGATCATTGAGGGGATAGATGGTCGTGAGCCACTTTTTTGAGGTGACTGCTGCCGTGATCTTAGCCACAGCAGGTTTGTAAGTTCCAAGGTAGGGGCATGAGGATTAGAAATGTTAGACAGGAAGAACAGAGATAAGAAAGAAACACAGAGACACAGGATAGTACCAGGAGGATAACCCAACACATATTGAATGCTGAATTTTTAGTTCTGAGTTCGCCCATGTGCAATTTTCTATGCCCCAGTACTTTCCATACTTCTATGCCCCAATACAAAAGGGGGGGGGGAGAAGCAAAAGACTGCTTCAACAGATTACAAAGGACAACCAAAAGAGTTACTTGCTCTAATCTTGAGACGTCAAGCCATTAATTCCAAAGTAAAGTATTTGATGTTTGGGGCGGTAAGCCCACCCTAGACTAAGTGTAGGCAGCCACTTCCTAAGTTAAACCCCTTATTTGAAAAGAAGGAGAAGTATTCTCTGACCTTTGGTAGGGGTGGGACAGAACTACCTCTGTGGGCCATCTTAAAGTCCAAAACACCAAGCCACCACGCCCTAGGTCTGGAACTCTTGTTTTGTAGCCACATCTATTGCTAACAACTTTGAAAGAGAAACAAGCAAACAAATAAACAAAACAAACAAACAAAAAACCCTTCAAATTCTCTGACCTTCAGACAAGGTGAAATAGCCTCAGCTCTGTGTGCGCCCCCACAGG